ATAAATTATTGATATTTTTTATTAAAATAAATTGTTTTTATTTTACAATATATTCCCTAAGAAGAGAGAGAGAGAGAGAGAGAGAGAGAGAGAGCAATAACAAAACAATAACTTAAATTTAAATACATAATAAACAACAAATAATAGTTTAGTGAATAAATTTGAGCACATATTGAATGGCAGGTTTAGGCGTTCGCCTCAACAATGAGCCGACACTTATCGATAGGGCTCGTCATCCCTGAGCTGTTCAAACTGTTCGGTTTGCTGTTCGTCCTGTTGTGGGGCCACAGGTTTGGGTCGCTGTCGTTGAACAGGCTTTTGGCCACTTTTTGGCGGTACTTTTGGCGGCCGCTCAGGCTTTTGGGGTTTCTGTTCGGGAATCTGTTCCGGTTCTTCGGGAATCTCTTCTTCCGGTTCTTGTGGCTCCTCTTCCCTCTGTTGAGGCACTTGTGGTTCTTGTCTGGGTTTTTGTGGCGCTTGTGGTTTGGGTTTGGGTTTAGTGGCGACGGGTTTCTGTTGGGGCTGTTCTTCTGGCTCTTGCGGTTCGTCGTCCTCTTCCTGTTGTGGTTCTTGTGTTTCGGGCTCTTGTTTTGGTAGAGGTCTCTGGGGTTTGGGTGCCGTTGGCTTTTGTCGGGGCGGTTGTGGCCGAGGCTTTGGCGGCGCTTTTGGCTCTTCCGGTACCTCTTCATCGGTTTCCTGTTGCGGTTCTTCTGGTTCTTGCGCTTCGGGTTCTTGTGGTGTAGGCTTTGGTTTGGGCTTTAGTTGAGGCCTCGGCTGCGGTGCCGGCGCTCTGGGGTATGGTCTGGGAGGCGATGGCGGGACTCCCGCCTCTTCAGGCTTGTCATCGGTTTCCTGTTGCTCTTCCTCCGGCTCTTGCGGTTCCTGTGGCACAGGTTTTGGTGTCGGTTGGGGTCGGGGCTGAGGTTTAGACTGAGGTCTCGGAGCCCTTGGCTTTTGTTTGGCCGGTTGTTGCTCTTCGGGCACCTCTTCGTCGACATCTTGCTGTTGATCTTCGGGTTCGGACTCTTGTTTGGGTTTCTGCGGTTCGTTCTGTTGTTGTTCTTCGGGTTCGTCTCCGTCTTCTTGCGGCACGTCTTCGGGTTCTTCCGACTGTTGAGCGTCTGGTTTGGGCGCCGGTCTCGGGATCTTTGGCTTTTCGAGCTCTAGTTTAGGCTCGTCTATGGGTTCCTGCGGTTCGTCGATGTCTTGCGGCTGTTCCTCCTGTTCCTGAGGCACCTCTGGCTGTGGCTTAGGTTTGGGTTTTTGCTGAACGGGTGGCAATCGCTGTCTGGTCTGTCCGATCACACTATCTCTGGGACTCGTCTTACTTATTGGCCGTCGAGGGACGGCTGCTTTCGCCTCTTGTTGTGGGCGTTGTTTTGTGTCATCAATAGGTGTGGGTTTTGGTTGCGGTTTAGGTCTAGTTTTCCCTAAGAATGTTAATAATTAGTAGTTTTTTAGTATAAATTTAGAATTCATTCATTTATATTAACAGAAAAATCTACAAATAATTATTGTTTTAAATAATTAGTTTAGAATTACTTTTAACAGTATTTATGTTAAACGAAATTGATATTAATCACAGGCATTGTTTGCTAACTGGAAATAACTAGCTATATTAATTTGTTTTATTAAGGTGTTTATAAAATTAATAATTACACTAAATTAATAAATTGTAAATTTTGTAAGTTTTGTCAGTCAATTAGAAATACATTGTATTAAATATGATATTCATTGACTAGAAATTTATAACATTTCAACTCAATTATAATTCAAATCGATTTATTTAATACTTAAATTGTTTTGATAACCAGATATTGATCTAATTGTACAAATTTGTATTTTCATTAATAATTTCTAACATTTATCTCTTTATAACTGTATTTATCTCTTTTTATCTCAATTTCTAATATACGATAAATACATTGGATTTTTGATAAGAAAACAAATAAAATATTAATAATTATAATCTAATGATTAAACTCTAGTTAAACAATAAATTGGTGTAAAATGAATGAATATTGAAATCATTGGGTGTTATATATAAATGATTGAATTGAATCAATATATTCAGTAATCGTATGTCTGCTGTTGTTTCTGTGAGAAATCGACCGGTTCTTCATCCCGTATCTGAACGATGGGTCTCTGGGGCTCAGGTGGGGGTCGAAGAGGCGGCGGTGGGAAAGAGTGAGGAGACCGGGGAGGAGAGGTCTTACCAATTTGTGGCTGCGGTTGATATGGTCTTTGTTGGGGTTGTGGTTGATATGGTCTCTGTTGAGGCTGTGGTTGGTATGGCCTCTGGGGTTGGGGTTGTGGTTGGTATGGCCTCTGCTGCGGCTGATACGGGCGCTGTTGGGGCTGCGGTTGAGGCGGTTGTGGTCGCTTCACTTGAGGCTGTGGCTGATACGGGCGCTGTTGGGGCTGAGGTTGTGGGCGTTGTGGCTGTGGAGCGAACGGTCGTTGTTGTGGTTGAGGTGTTTTTCTGGGCGGCTGTGGAGCGGGTTGTGGTCTGTATGGCTGTTGAGGTCTTTGTGGAAATGCGGGTTGAATTTTAGATGACGGCTGCGGCTGATAGCGACCGGTTTGCGGCTTTTGGGGCGCAATATATTCGGTCTCCTCATCGATAGGCTGTTGGGGCTGTTGTCGGGGCGGTTGAGGTCTGGGTGCGGGTCGTGACGCCGGTCGGGATACTGGTTGGGCCTTCGCTGGCGGAGCACCTCCTGGTCCCGGCTCTGCTCCCGCTTTACCTAAATTATAGATTTAGTTAATAATTACTTAAAACTTATGAATTATTTAAAGTGGTTAAAAATATTTACCTAATTCTTCATTAATTGAGTAGAAGTTAGGCGTTTGCGAGCAGTCGACTGAATGCCAATAATCACAGCCGAGAATAGCCTGATTGAAGACCGTTCCCACACCGCATAGCATACTCTCCTTCCGTCCCTGGAAACAGATGTGATAGGCCTGGCATTGGGTCTCCATATCGGCGTACATTCCCGGCTCGTATGGCATACCAGTGCACGTGAAACTGGTTTTGGGTACTCGCGTATAGCCGGGAAAGTCGACGCCTGGCGTTCCCATCACTCCTCCATATATGGGTGGCTCGGGATTGGCCTCTCCCTCAGCGCTGTTGTCCTGTCCCTCATCCTCTTGAGGCTGAGGTCGCGATGGCGGCGGACGTCGCGGTCGGGTTCTCTGAGGTGCGCCCACTTGTGATTGTGGGGCCGGAGGTCTATATCCGGTGCCAATTTGTTGCTGTTGTGGCGGCTGTTGATAGCCTTTCACGCCCTGACGTTTTGCCTATTAATATAACATTAATTAATTAGTTCAACAGTTTGGACAGTAATGGCATTGTTTTATTATTGACTAAAATTGAATTGAATTTTTTAATACGTAAAATTGGTTACATTTGAAAAGTGATAAGTTATTCATAGCGTAATAAAACACTCAACATCTTAAGAGTTATCTAAACTTATTGAACAATTGTTTAAATAAGACTTATAATAAACCAAAAATATGTTATAATAAAGTTATTGTTACAAAAAATACAATTCAACAATTGTCTGACCCTTTAATTAAATTATGGAAAACAAATAAAACAAAAATACATTTTAATCATAAAATGTAATTAATTTTGTGGTACAATACTGTCAAATGCCGTGAATTGATTGATTCATTCAATTGTATTAAACATGGTATTAAATAGTGGCCGAAAAGAAAATGTAATTAACTTATTACAAAATCATTGCCACTAATAATGAAAAGTAACTATTTATATACTTTTTTTTGTTAACACATTAGTGCCATAAATTGAACATGTGTGTACAGTATTTGTAATATAAAAACATCTCATCCGTCAATGTTAACCATTATAATGCTATTAACTTTTATATTAATGCTTTTAAATAGTTTTGTTTAAAAATGGACTTATATTTGCAGTGAATGAGATAGGGATCAGTTGTGGGCGGCTTTTATATGTCTATCGACTAAATCAAATAAATTATGTTTAAAAATATAATTTATAATAGGTTATTTTTAATTTATTGTGCTTTATGCGCTTTTCAATATTGTATGAAGAAGGTTATAAAGTTTATAGTGCAATACAATAAAATTTAATTAAATATATACAGTAAATGTACAATGTTGTAACATAAAGAAAAATAATATTGTAAAATTTGAAATAATGTAACATTTAAATCAACGATACTAAAATTTATAATTCTATAGTATACTAATCTATAATTTTACTAACTTTTCTTCTATTCATTCCGTAACACAATTAAAATCTTATATGAATAAAAGTGGAGAAATAGAATTTAATTAAAAGTTTAAGAAAAATTAAATTTTATTCGGATTACAAACAGGAAATTGAATATTTAACTAAAATCACACTTTATTTTGTAAAATTAATTCTGTATAATACTGTATAAGAATAAAATAAAACTTATATTATCAATATTATTATAAAATAAATTAATTTTAACATTATGGTACATTAAATATTTTAACATGAGAGAGAGAGAGAGAGAGAGAGAGAGAGAGAG